CCCCAAAACCCCAAAACCCCAAAACCCCAAAACCCCATAATGATGCATTTGTAATTTAATTAAATTGAGCTTTATTATAAAATAAAATATTAATAGAAATGAAGCAAAATGAAATGTAATCGCTAGTAGAGTCACTTGCTGAATAAAGAAAGAAACATCAGGAACGCATTGAATAGCTAAAGATACAAGATCTTAAAGAAATGGTAAAGTTAAACAAAACTTGAAATGCCTTATTTATAGAACAAGGTCAATTATGTGCCACGCCTAAGGACAAAAGACGAGTTAATGAAGGAAGTAAAGTATAAAAAGTCATGGCGAGGCTCTGGTAATCAAAATGACTACTTTGAAAGACCTCCTATAATGAGACCAAAGATCCTTGATGAATGGACAATGAGCAGGGTGTAAATGCCTGAAAGAGCTTACAAAAAGTTCTTCTTTTGTAATAATAAGCAATAATTAACAATTTCATTAGTAAATTAAAAACCGTTTGGATATACACCCAGCCATACTAGAGAATTCGGAAATCCCTCTGAGGATATACTTTCCTCACATTATAGAGAGGTTTTGTAGGAATAAAAAAAGAAATTTATCGATTATGTTGAAAGGCCATCAAAGTACATGCCTCCTTAGACGGAGCCTCTTTGCTTATCAAAGCAGACAAAGTTCTTTAAAACTGATCATTAGAATAAATTTTTTGGTAATTCATCTCATACTACCTGGGAAAGCTTTCAAAAAACAATCCGTTCACCAGAGTATTAAGCCGTTTTAGGTGGAGTTCATTAACCTGCAAAAACAAATGGATTTTTCGGCACAAGATTTGAGACTAGACATGATCTTGATATGGGTCAAACTGCAATTAAATTCGCAAAAAGGGAAAGTTTATCACTTGGACCTGTAGCCAGACATGCCTAATCAGTCAGATAAAGTATAGAAAATTGAATAAGTTTACTTTTAATTTACTATTAAGAATTAAACTGTAGCTAAAATACCTACATCAATATTACCAACTTTAATTAATATTTAAAATTCAAAAATGTCTTCAAATTACTACGAAAAACTAAGAGGCGTTTATGAGCATCATCTTGACAAGCGAGTTCGCTCTAAAGCATTGAATGTTCCTTCTCCTAAGTACTTGATTGAATAGCCCTTGTCTTCATAAAGATCTAACTTATTTAGTCCAAAAGCAGAAGGAATTCTCAAAAGCCCTAAATTTCACCCTCTAAATACGAATAAGAGCAATCAAAGTTCAAAATAAGTTAGATTCTCTGTTTATAACGCTCAAAAGCTAGAGTAAATTTAGAAAATAAGATATGCCAAAGAATATGAATTGAATGAATTCTAAAAATCTTCATCGCTGACAAGATAAATTTAGAGTTTTCATAAATCTTAGTCTCAATAAAAGCAATTAACTGGTACTTTTGAGAGAAAAGAAGAGCCTGCATAACAAAAATAGCAAATTAACAATAATCAGTATAATACATTTAGTACTAATAAAGTGTCTCTGAATTAGCTAATAAGCTCATAATTTAGTTCTTTGAAAGAACTACCTCAAATTAGCAGCTAGTAGTAATTGCAGTAGTAGCAATAACATTTTCATGTTCCTCTAATAAGTAATATTAGTAACAGACAGTCAACAAATCAAAACTAAATATCCTCGATCATAGATTTTGAAAATTAGTAATCATAAAGCAGCAAGACATAATTCAAGGAGATGCCAGGAAATATTAGTTAGCTAGTCGCCTAAAAACTAAAAAATCTAACGAGTAATAATTCTGAGATTAATACCTATCACAATAAAATGGATAAACAACTAAATTAAACTGAAATATTATAAGAACTTGGAGAGGTTGTGCTAAGCGCATCAAAACATAATTCATCAATAATTACTGAAAGTAATAATCTCATAGATTTGGTTGGATAAATTTAATCTCATTAACATCAAAGGGTTAGTTCTCCTTTTTAGTAGTCATCTAATTATCAAAGGTCTTCAGGTACATAAGATTTACTATTAAAAAGATTTGTTGATAAAAATATGGATTTGCTTAGATCTAAATAACCTACAGCTTAAAGTCATTAGAGAGATTAGACTCAATCTAGTATGTCAAACGATCTAATAAAGAAAATAGAAGAACTACAGAGGACTAATGTTATTAGAATCCACTAATAATGAGAAAAAGTACTAGATAGATTGCAAGCAATCTTTGACGAGAGAGGCATTTAAAAATCTTTTAAGATTTTAATGAAGAATCTCAGATATCTTAATGCTAAAGAACTAGCTATAATTAGAAAAAAGAGGAAAAGAGAATTGAGAGATTATTTTAAGAAATGGATATTGCAAAGAAACAGCAAGAAAGATGAAATTTAGAATATGATAATAGCTGAAAAATTCCATTTAAACTAGATGAAATTGCGATTGAAAATGATTTTATATCAGATGAGGAAAATGATCAAGAAAGAAGTTTAATTTTAAGCGAAACTTCTTATAGATTCAAAATACAAATTGAAAACCAAGATATTCTAAGAATTCAAATTGAATGTCCTCTATTAGAAATTTATAAGAAATCGGAATTAGAGAATATATCAAGCATTTTTCACGTTGGCAATTTATGAATTATAGAACAAATACTATTTCCTTGATCTTTATTAAGAGAAGCTAAAGTTTAGAATTATTAGAGGTATTTGTGGAGTAATCCTGAAAAAAAAACTTCATGCTACTCAATTAAAACAAGCTGAAGTATACTATGAAATTAAAAGGAAAAGATAATTTATATCATCCTTAAGTATAAATAAAGACTACCTTAAGGAAATCAAGAATGATCAATTTCTGTATGCAGCTGCCAAAAACGATCAGGATTATTTTGAGATAAGCATTTAAACTTCAGTTACTAATAACAATCAAAAGTTTGGAACAAAAAGATTGGCAATTGATCAATTCAGATCATTAAACATTGTCTATTGATTCAATTTTAATTTCTGTTAAGTATTCACGATTAACAGAGAGTGGGGTTTTGGGGTTTTGGGGTTTTGGGGTTTTGGGGTT